TGGAAAAATTCTAGAGCAGATTATTAAACGCTCTGTCTGTGAGCACCTTGAACGGAATGAGTTAATTGGTAGTAGCCAGCATGGGTTTATCAAGAATAAGTCATGCCAGACCAACCTTATCTCCTTTTTGGACAGAGTTACTAAAATGGTTGACTCTGGCAATGCTGTGGCTATAGTGTATCTAGTTTTCAGTAAAGCATTTGAAAAAGTTTTTCATGATATCTTTGAGGATAAGCTGGTTAAGTGTGTGCTGGATGGTGCAACCGTTGGATGGATTCATGGTTGGTTGAAAAATTGTACCCAACGAGTGCTCGTAAATGGCTCTGCGTCTACGTGGAGGGAAGTCTCGAGTGGAGTGCCACAGGGCTCGATCCTGGGCCCGGTGTTGTTCAATGTTTTTATAAATGACCTGGAGGAAGACATAGAGGGGATGCTTATCAAATTTGCAGATGACACGAAGCTGAGTGGGATTGCTAATTCTGAAGAAGACAGAGGATTCAAAATGATCTAGATAGGCTGAAACAGTGGGCTGAGACAAAATGAATTTCAATAGAGATAAGTGCAAAGTCTTACACTTAGGTACAAAAAATCAAAGGCACAGATATAGAATGGGAGGGACTTGGCTCGCAATTTCCCACTACTTGCTGCATGGCCGCATTTTGACCAGCAGCATTCCCCAATTTCCCCCGCGTCTTCTTGATTCTTGTTTTTGAGATTGAGAAGACACGGGGAAAATTGGGGGATGCTGCAGGTCAAAATGTGGCCGCACAGCAAGTAGTGGGAAATTGACAAATACAATCAGGGGGCGAGGGCAGCACAGCTGCTTGTGGGAAATCTGGTCAAAAGGAACACATTGAACAAGGCTCAACATGGAAGCAACTTTGCTCTCCACCCCTTCTGTGAGCTGACTCACTCAGTGAACTTGCTGCCTTGCACCCTGTCCTGTTTAACCTGTGCTGTATTTTAATGTATTTCAATTAACTTTTATATGTATTTTAGTTAACTACCCTGTTATAATTCTATATCTGTTCATCTAATTGGAGTGTTTTAATATCTATACCTTCATACTTAAAAATGATTTGCTGTGTGAACTTGTATCTGGTTGTGGGCTGCAATAAATTATTATTATTCATTCAACCTGTGCTTGCTTTTCCAGCCAGAAACCCAGACTCCATCTCTTTCCCCAGCTTCCAAGCTTTGCACCTTGGACTCCAGACCTTCCTGTTCTCCTGACCTTTGAACTGAATCTGCATCTCCTGACTCTGGACTAGTTTGTTGACCTTGCTCTTATCTGTAGCCTTGACTGTGATTGTATTTGTGCATCCCGGGGACCTGGGTAGAATAAAAGTACCAAGCTCTGCCCTGAACGTGACACTTGCATTGATTGATTGTGATTGTATTTGTGCATCCCAGAGATCCCGGGTAGAGTAAAAATGCCAGGCTCTGCCCTGAATGTGACAGTGCCTATAATAAGTGCAGTGTCAAGAGGAATGTATAAGGTGTACTAGCTCTTCCCTCTACTTGGGCTATAAAAAGAACATGCTCTTTAACACTGATCAAAGAATATGTTCTGAGAGTGCTGCTCCTTTTCTTCTCCCCCCCCTTCTTGTGGAAAAAGCCTGCCTCTGTTTCCCATGTTTCTCTGAACCTTAATACTGTACAAAGAATCTTCAAGCAAAAATACCAATTACTGGACTGAAAGCAGGTAAGAATTGTAGTGAAAGACACCCTACTGCGTCTCAGGAGGTTTTAAATCTGTTCTGACCTCATGGCCATCTGTTCTTTTTCTACTGCATGCTCATGTCCCCAAGCACAGTTTTCTGCCTGATAAATTATAGCTTATGATAAAAATATTTTTGTTAAGCAAAAAAACCCCCCAAACTGTCCTCAGTTTATTGGAGGGTACATTACTTAGTGTATCTGCACCCTATCGCAGTGGCTCTCAAAGGCTGGTTGTGGTAATATCATAGGTCAGTCGCAAAGCCAGGAGGGAAGAGGAGGAGTAGGGTGTAGGGGAGTGCATTTGGATCTACCCGAGCCAAAAATATACATTAAAATACCTTATCAGTATTTTCCATGTATATTTTGGCATCCCAAATGTATCAGGGTTTTCTCGGGGAAGCTGGGAAAAATATCCCGAGAAAATCGTGGATATATTCAGGAATTACCAGTAGATCCGAAAACAGCAAGAGGCAGGAGCAGATTGCTCCCGCCTCTCAGATGTTTGTCGGGCTTCATAAGTCCTTTTAAACTTTAAAGAGGCTGCAGAAGACAGCTCCTGCTGGCTTGGCTTGGGGTTGGCTGGCTCCTCCTGCAGCCCAGTTTAAACCAGGCTGCGAGAGAAGTCAGTCCAGGATCAGCCTTGGCTGGGGCTGGCTGCTCTTGCAGCTCGGTTTAGTCTCTTACTTTTTTCAGTTTAAACACAACATCTGACCTCCCAGCATGCATGACTGGCCCCTTATCTGACAGCCTCTAGAAGGGTAGTAATAACTACTATGCTTCTTTCTTGTCTTAAGGTTGGCTGTGTTAAAGATTTTAAATTTTCTACAAGTCTTTTCATGCATCCCTGGTAATTAATTTATTGTTCGTGGCTTTTAATTCTGTATTGTTTGTTCTTTATTTGTTTAATGCATGGTATTATGTTCTGTAAACTGTCTAATGGCTTCAATGTACCAAAGGAAGCTAGATGTGTTTTAATAAACAGACAAAAAATAAATGGAGTGAGGTTACAGCTCAGTGGAGAAGAATCTGCTTTGCATGCATAAGGACCAGGTTCAATCCCTGTTAAAAGAATCATGTAATATGTGAGATGAAACACTGTAAGACCCAGGTGAACTGCTACCAGTCAGAGTACATAATATTGACCTGAATAGACCAACAGTCTCTCAGCATAAGGCAGCTTCATGTATTCAAATGTATATAGACAAAACTGTTAATATGTCTAAAATTTAAACATATAATAGTTTAGCAGACTAGATTATTCTTTTGTTTCTCTCCCAAGTGTCACGTGGTGGACTTTATAGGTTCAGTGGGGCTGCTTTCTTGAAACCATCAGATAAGGTATCTGTTGGAAGTCAGGGAAGTTTCTTAATTAGTTTCATTATAGTGCAAACACCTGTGGTTGAGAAAGGGAACAGTAATGAAAAAGAAAAAGATTTTATATACTTAAAGGGATACTCTTTGAATACTGGTATTATGAAGAAAAACAAAAGGTCTATCCTGATTTTTTTTCTGTGGGGTAAAAAATCTATAGGGCTAAGGTCAAGGGGTTTAGAAGGGTATAACTGTTTAGGATCACACTGTTGACCACCAGTATAGCAGACTATTGAAAAAGCCTATAGTTCAGAGATGGAACATACACCTTTTTATTTTTATTGGATTTGTATCCTGATCTCCCTGCATAGCGGATTAGGGTGGGTTCCTTCAAATATAATAGGTAAAGGTAAAGGTTCCCTTGCTCGAAAGCCAGTCGAATCCGACTCTAGGGTTGCGGTGCTCATCTCTGTTTCAAAACTGAAGAGCCAGCGCTGTCCGAAGACGTTTCCGTGGTCATGTGGCCGGCATGACTAAACACCAAGGCGCACGGAACGCTGTTACCTTCCCACCGAAGTGGTACCTATTTATCTACTTGCAATTTCTTGCTTTCGAACTGCTAGGTTGGCAGGAGCTGGAACTAGAGAGAGGAGCTCACCCCGTCTTGCGGCACCCGGGTCTCGAACTGCTGAACTACTGACCTTCCACAGCCTGCAGTTCAGCGTCTTAACCACTTGAGCCACCGCAGCTCCTTAAATATAATACACAATAATTAAAAACAGTGAAAATACATCAGATAAAATACAGTGCAATTTCTATATATTGAATCAAAACTTCAACAGATGTAACCTGTCACAATTGGGTTCCAGATATTGGTCATATCTGATCCACCAAAGGGGAGGCCCAATACTTTCAATGAAGAAGGTGTAAGCTCAATTTTTGACAACCTTTTAGTGAACAGATCTTTAGTACCATCTACCCCTTCATCAAAGCTGCTTTTCAGATCTTCAAGAGAACTGTCATCTGGGAAAGTATTAGAACAGAGGGCAATTAATAGGTGACTTGATAGCTGGTTTTGGAAAAGCAGTAAGTATTTCAAGCTCTGGAGTTTGCACTTCTGATATTTAAGAAAAAGTGTTTGATGAACAGCAGAGAACTGTTTAACTTTACCAGCTATTAGAAATACTACATACCTGCTTATTGAGTATGTATATTTGTAGGCTAATGCTCTGACTTGAAGAAGAAGAGAAGAGATTGGATTTATACCCCACCCTTCACTACCTGAAGAGTCTCATAGTGGTTTACACTCCCTTTCTCTTCCCCTCCGCTACAAGCATGGACGGCTTCAAAGGGGAATTAGATAAGCATATGGAGCAGAGGTCCATCAGTTGCTATTAGCCACAAGGTATAGATAGGGGCTCTGGGGCAAGTGATGCTCTCTCTTCTTGGTGCTTGGGGGGGGTCAACAGTGGGAGGGCTTCTAATGTCCTGGCCCCACTGGTGGACCTCCTGATGGCACCTGGTATTTCTGGCCACTGTGTGACACAGAGTGTTGGACTGGATGGGCCTTTGGCCTGATCCAACATTGGCGTCTCTTATGTTCTTATGTTAACAGACAACCTGCCCTTGAGAGAACAGCTCTGAAGGAATTTATGACTGACCGAAGGTCACACCAGCAGCTGCATGTGGAGGAGCGGGGAATCAACCCTGGTTCTCCCAGATTACAGTCCGCGCTCCTAACCACTACACCAAACTGGCTCTTGATATAAAGTGCTTCATAGAATTCCAAAGCCTGTCAACGTGAAGAAAAGAATTGTTTGGCTCACTAACACAGCTTTTACTTAGGATTTTAAACTTGATGTGAACAACTATAAAAATTTTCACTTTTTGCAGCAAGAGCTTTGGTATGTTATTCTTTCATTCACCTGAAAGCAATCATGTGGTTCCATTGGGACACTCTTAGCAGTTTCCCTTGGAGACAAACATCTGCATCATTACACCAGCTGTCAGAACAATTGGAAGCCATGCAGTAAGTGATGTGTCATTCTGCCTCATGCAGTGAGGATGATGACTCATTAATAATCCCAACCTGTGATGAAGCGAGTCTTGTTTAACTTTTTCAGGAACTATGACACTTTTAATTACAGAACATACAAGAGGATAAACAATGTAAAAGGCCAACTAATAAAATATTGTCTTTTGTGGGGGAGAGGGGAGGAACAAAGATTTTTACCGTTATTTTTTTCAAAGGATCTTGAAAAGGATCTTGTGTTTTTCAAAGGATCACCAGTTTGGTGTAGTGGTTAAGTGCGCGGACTCTAATCTGGGAGAACTGGGTTTGATTCCCCACTCCTCCACTTGCACCTAGCTGGATGACCTTGGGCAAGCTGTAGTTCTGATAAGAGCTGCTCTTGAAAAAGAGCAGTTTCTGTCAAGAGCTCTCTCAGCCCCACCTACCTCACAGGGTGTCTGTTGTGGGGAGGGGAAGGGAAAGGAGTTTGTAAGCCGCTCTGAGAGTCCTTTGGGTAGTGAAGGGAGGGGTATAAAGCCAATCTCTTCTCGTCTTCTTCTTCTTGGTAAACACAAAGGGACACTGTGGGTTGGGTCCAGTGGAAACTTTCTGGGCAAAATTAGAGCTCTTGAACAAAGTAGAAATGCCCTAAAAAGACCACACTGGCTGCTAGTGCTAGGATAAACGTGCATTTCTACTTACACAAGAAATTGTGCAAACAAATATATGAGGAAAGGAACCTATAGGTACTGATGTATATCTAATGCTATTGCTCAGGCAAGCGGAACTACAATGAGTTTACATTTCCATTCATACATCACTAGATCCAACCTTGTATTTGGATACTTCATTACAGCCCTGTACTGTAAACAAAGTTTACAGTAAATGATTTTGAACAGAGGGCTTTAATTTAAAATATCCATCTGGATTTTGGACATTCAGCCTGTACGAACACTTAAAGCAGTGTGTGTATTTCCTGTTACAGATTTGAACTCCCCCCTTACAGCACCTTTGATTGAGACAGGAGCAGGTAATAGCGTGATTTCCAGGAGGTTTTGTTGAGAAATCTTTCCAAGTTGGAACCAATTTAGGGTGGCCTGTCTGGCACTGAGCCAGGACCTTTTCCATTGTGGCTCCTGCTCTGTGAAATGGGCTCCCTGAAGAGGTGAGAGGGCCACCCTCCCTGGAGATCTCCAGGAGGTGCTACAAGGCCTGCCTGTTTGCCAGGGCTTCTGAGGGGTTTTGAACAGTACCATCTTTTAAGGGGGAGGGGGGAGGGCTTCGGGGCTTGTTTTATTTTCGGTTTTAGCTAACTATTATTGTAAACTGCCTTGAACCAAGAAGAAAGGGGGGATATAAACACTTTAGTAAATAAATAACCAATTTTCAAGTAGAATAAAAAGAGGAAAGGGTCCCTTTGGCCACCAAAAAGGCTGTGCTGAGGATCATGGAACTAATGTGGACAAAAGCCTTGTGGCATGGGTGCTGTAGTAAGGAAGGTAATTAAGTAAAACTGAGTGAAAAAGCTGGCTAGATCGAGCACTCAGTGTGCTTCTCTGATAAGAAGTAGGCTGCTGCCCTACCCAAAGGTCAATGTATGTTACATTTATCACTCTGAAGTGCCTTGAAAAGCCCTTATACATAGCTGCTCTTCCATGCTGCACTGGTTGAAATATGCAAGTCATGTGATTCTTCCATACTACGTGGACAGTTTCCATAGTAGCAACCATCTACTACCAGGAATGTACATCATTGATATGGGACCTTGCCTTCCTTGGTGGCCTGTGCTATTTGTCATAATAACAGGATGGAGGAGAATGCATGGCAAGCTCTCGCTCGAGTAGCCCATTGGGCCAAGCAGGGCTGTTTGTTGCTGGCTAAGGATACGGAGAAGTGCCAAACCCCTCCCACTGCATCTTTCTCCTTGTCTTTAGCAGGTAATTGGGATCTGTGGTACATTTTAAAGGAACAAGGGCTTTTGGCCTGTGACTCTTCATATGGGGTATACAAGTGGAGGAAGGTTTGCCACTACTGGAAAGAGAGAGTTTCACCAGTTACATAGTGATTACTGACACAGAAGTACACCTGTTAGACAATGCTGACATCAGGTGTGGCCATTATCCTCCATGAGTCCTTCAACTTCCACAGACTTCCAGTGCAAACCATCATTAGCACTAACTGTATGCTTCTCAATTAAGGAGATATTAGGCATTGTGCTTATTTATTGGCCACCTAGTTCTCCAATGGACACTTTGTTTGAACTGGCAGAGGTGATCTTGGATGTAGTGTTGGGGACACCCAGGCTGATCATTCTGGGGGACGTCAACATTCATGCCGAGGATGCCACGCCAGGGCCAGCCCAGGATTTTATAGCTCCTTTGTCTATCTTGCATATCTCCCAAATCATGACTGGCCCAATACATGAAAGAGGTCACATCGCTGATCAAATACACTATGCACAACTGAATTATTCAAGAGGGCTTTTCTGCACAGGCAATAGAGTTGCACAGTGCAAAATGATTCATGAAGTTACTTAAATTATTGGGGACTCTGGTCTATACTACAGTGTATAGTTTGCTGTAAACTGGATCCTACCATTGTAGTTTTGCATCATTTAATGTGTCATGTTAACACTTAGCTTTGCTTCAATTTTTTTTTTAAGATTTATGGTTGGTACTACAACCCAAATTCTATTTCTTTATTTTCTTATTTATTGAATGTCCATTCCTGTTGATTGTATTGATTCTGCGTAATCTGCCTTGAGTCCCAGTGAGAAAGGCGGATTATAAATAATGCAAATAAATAAATTAATCTCAATTAGCCCCCAGTAAGAAAACCAACATATTGCTGTGCTCTGAGAGTACAATGATTTATTATGAGAGTGACTTATTAATGGTTCATGGGGAGAAATGCCCCCCTCTAGATTTGACCTCAATATTTCAATAATTGGGGCTGGACTCTACACATGCTCCAAGAGCATTAATGCTGGTGAAAGACAGGCAAAAAGAAAAATACAAGAGATATGTATGAGGAGCATATTGCAAAAAACGTAAAGACCAACAATACAACTTTCTTCAAATACATTAGAAGCAAGAAACCAGCCAGGGAGGCAGTGGGGCCCTTGGATGACCAAGGGGTAAAAGGAGTACTGAAGGATGATAGGGAACTGGCTGAGAAACTAAATGCATTTTTTGCCTCTATCTTCACTGTGGAAGATGAGAAGTGCTTGCCCACTCCAAAACTGCTGATTTCAGGAGGGGTGTTGAAAGACCTGAGTCAGATTTTGGCTCAGTATTCAGGTTAAATTGCCGTGTTGGCACTTTGTGATAAATAAGTGGGTGTTGGGTTGCAGTTTGGGCACTCGGTCTCTGAAAGGTTCGCCATCACTGAGCTAGTGCAAATGGGAGATGTGGCAAATAGGCAGAGCCTTTAAACGGCAATGTTGCATAGAGTGTTGGAAGTACAAATCCTTTTACTAGGAGATAACTTTCAGATTTTTTTTGGTGGCTGTGCTTACTACTTAGAGACAATTGGACAACCACACTGGAAATGAAGGGAAAAGGAAAGGTGGCATCTCAGGCAGACCTGGGACAACCATGGAACTCTCTGAGCTTCTGGAACATGGAATCACCAATATACACACCTGATTCACACAACCATTTTGTCCTGCTATTTTTTGAGACGGCTGTGGAATTTCGCATGTCACACAGGAGACAGGAATTTAGGAATTGCCAAAATGCAACCCAACAGGAATCAGCATGTTGGGAGAAGCTATGAAATGTTATCCTATGATCTCAGGCAAGTAAAAGCATCTTAACTGGGAAATTCTAATTAAGTACAGTTAGCTTCTACAAATCAGATAACATTTGGTGGCAGCTGTTTCCCCCCTTCAAAAGACAAATTCAGAAATAAGTAATAAGCTGCTTATCTAGAACAGAAGTCTTTCGGTAGCCTTTGAGCACAGAGTTACTAATGCAGCTGTGTTGCCTGTTCAGTTGTTTATGGGTTGTTGTTTTTTGTCATTCCTGGCATAGATATCCCAAAGGGTGGTGCATGGATTGTTACCAACTCCATTATTAAGAAAGCAACTCTAGAAAACCTAACAACTAGCAATTGTCTTGAAGCCTGTACTCTTGAAGACTATTTGGATGCTAAATTCAAAAGCCCATTTAATGAAGACAGTATTACATCTCCACTGCTTTCCTGCAGTTTGGATGATGACCTCACATGCTGAGGGATGTGTTTCCTACATCCCTACCCACTTGGCATATCTGCTTTATCTCTGATACCAGTGGGCATCCAACAGTGGTATAACATCTAAATGTAACTACATTCAGTGCACATATGGCCCATATAAGTGATTGATTCCCAGATTTAATCTAGGAAACTGAGCCTATGCACACTGGATTTGGACTAATTTGAATGATACACCATGACACGGGTGTCTGATGTAGTTCCCGCAAGGCAGGGCAAGGACACCAAGAGGATGGGGATGTAAGGTTATTTTACCTCAGCTCATATGTTTTCTGCCATTTTAAAAGCTTAGCCCAGCATCACATTTTATGTTAGTTTTCAGCATCTCCCTGTGTTTATTAATTGCAACATTTATACCCCCCTCCAGCTATTTGTTTTCAAGGTGGTTTACACCAAATGCATATAAGAAGTTAACTCAGTCATCTGGCTTTCTTGGCTGCTCTTCTGAGAGGATGTAGCAAATAAGGAAAAGATTCCTTCCTACCATTTACAGGGCCCCAGCAGCTGCACACTGTTGTTTCAGAAGGCAGGTTGTCCTCACCTTAGGCCAAATGAGTACAGTCTTTGTAAGGTTTGCCATTGACTAGCACAGTCCACAACTTTGCAATGCCTCATTGGGCATAAATGAACTCTCTAAAGGAAACAGCATTGATCAACATAGTTTTACTGCTTATTTCTTTAATCCTTACAGCTTTCCTATCCATCATGTCACTTGGAAATTAGGCCAAATGACTGTCAGCTTCTCTCCAGCAGCAGCAAAG